TCATTGTTTCTTTTAAACTATAGTCCGGCCCTCCAACGGTCTGAGGGACAGTGAACTGGCCCCCTGTTTAAAAAGTTTGAGGACCCCTGGGCTAAGTTCTCTTCAATAAATATAGAATGTATATAATTGAGCAAAATTAGTTTTATGATTTTAATATTTTTGTAAGATTTAGCTTTCCTTTGCATTTTTCATTTATAGACAAGTCAGTAAAGAGTTAAGAGAATTGAGTTGTCTAAAGCGGCATATGGTCCAAATTCTCTGTTCTTATGCCACATAATTCCTTTTTTGAAAAGGCGTTAACACATGCAAAGGAGGAGAATCAGCTCTATTGTATTTTGTATTTTCCCTCGAATTTTGATTTAAAATGAGAATAAAATTAACAAGCCAGTTGGCTACTTTGAGCTTTGGGTAAAAAATGATCAGATTAGTATTTTGCAAGCCAGGTGGATCATAGAGGCAAGTAAACTTTTACATTGATTTGTTTCATAAATGTCAAAGGCCCTGAACTTAGACTGGAAAGGAATTTAACATTTATCAGTACTTCACATTACAGAAAGATGATAATGAATAACATACAAGCCTTGATGTGGATAGCAGATAGGCAAAGTAAAATAAAGGTAATATAAATTTGAAACAAATAAGAAATTATCCAGTTGTAACTATGACAGAAATGTGCTAACCACGCCCTGGCCAGTGTGACTCGGTTGTTTGGGTGTCATCCCGTGCACCAAAAGGTTGCCAGTTCCATTCTCGGTCAGGGCACATGCCTGGGTTGTAGACTTGATCCTCATTAGGGGGCTGGCAGGAGGCAGCTGATTGGGATGTTACGCTCTCACATAGATATTTCTCTCTCTCTCTCTCTGCCTCTCCCTCCTTCTCTCTCTAAAAATCAATTTAAAAATATTTTTAAAAATAAAATAAAATGTGCTCCCCAAATCTCTTTTTTATAGAGTAGATAGACTTTCACAAGAAACTGAGCAAAGCTTGATTAAACAGAAAAGACAATTATTGATTTAAAATAGATTCTGTGTGTTTTAAATTTTGAACACAATAAAGCTTAATTGTAAAAATGTAATACAAAGTACATTGTAAAAATATAGTCTATTCAATTCAGCTGTTTTCCTGATAAGGTACTATTAAATAAGCAGGAAAGCAATGGTCTTTATCAGAACCATTAGTGAGACATAGAAAGTTAGCAACAGCCAGGAGAGAATCTCCATGCTCCCTCTCCTGTTCTTCTTGTTTAAAGCAGGGCCATAATTCTTTTGTTGGTGGTTGTTTTGTTTGGGCGGCAAACTTTGCTCAGAGACTGATTTTGTCTTTGCCGTCAATTTATTTAATAGAGGTTTGCCTTGGGAATTATAATTTCACAAGGGAATAGCATACAGGATAATATCTCTTAATAAGCCAAATAAAGAAATAACATATTCCACAGCAATGATAGATTAATTACATTATTGTCCCAAGTAAAAGGAGGAGGAAGTGCCCAGGTAAAAAGATGAAGAACCTTTTATACGAGCAGGCACTTGCGAGAGGCACTTGGCCAAGCAAGAGCTGACATCCAGCTGCCAGCACACAAATAAGAGGCCCCTGTTGCTAGAGCACATTGCTAGGGAACAGAAGTACCAGTGTTGATGGACATTCAGAGCTGCTCCAGAGGTTAGGGCCTCTGCATGGCTTTGCATCACCGCTCACAAGGAGTGCCTTCTCTTCCTGAGGCTGCTGCACTCTTGAGCTTCATGCTGACCAGAATCTCTGGCCACAGCAGGAGCAAATGCCTCAAGATCTTTGAGAGCTATTTAGGCCAGCAAGGTGTCAACTTGCCCTGACCAAAACTCTGGGGTTGTCCCCACACACTCTCAGTATTTATAGTTTAAATATCCCCTTGCCATCATGGCTTCTCCACATGTTATTAATGACAACAGAGGAAATGGCGTCTCCCTCACACAACTTCATTCTCATGTCAAAACAACTCATTTCTACAACTTGATCATTGTCATAAACAGGTGGATCAAATTCACTTACGTCATTAACAAATGAACTTAAAATCATATTAAACCAATACACAGTAGTGGTGCTGAAATTTTCTCAAATCCTTTGAGAAATGATGAACTATGTCAGGACTGTCTTCCCATGTCTGTCTGTCCTGCAGACTTGAATCCCAGATGACGGCAGACATCCAGACCATCTTACAGTTGCTGCAGAAACAAACTGCTGTGGTCCCCCCAGCCTACAGTATGGTCACTGCCGCGGCGGAGTATCAGAGACCCACCATCCACCTGATGAGAACCAGTCATCCGAGAGCATCCATCAAGACGGACCAAAGTTTTAGTCCTTCCTCACAAGTGAGTGTAGGCAGGGTACAACCAAGAGTGTCTAAAAGTGTGTTCTAGGGACCACCTGAATCAAAAATCACCTGGGCTGCTGTGGAACATGCAGATTCTCACTCTACTCAGTTCTGGGAATGGACCCTGTAATACAAATTTTACACACAATGCCCCCCCACCCCGCCCTATTCTTATGCCCATTTAAAGTTTGAGAAGAATGGACCTAGAAGAATAATCTTAAACAATACTTTTTTTTTTTTAAAGAAAAAGCTTTTCTCAAGAGTCAATCTACTTAAGTGTGTATATGGCAGAGCTTGGAAAACTAAGGAGTAGCCCTGGTCCAAAAAGCTCTTCAGAGACAAGTATGTAATTTACTCTAGTGACCAGATGAATTCTTGGGCAGGGTCTCGGGAAGGAAGTGGAGGAAAAATAGCAGCTGGACACAGAAGACCTGAGGTTCAAGAGCAGACAAATTAGTAATCTTAGATATCTGTACCCTACCATTCCCAAAGATCTCTAAACCCTTTTTTCCCCCTGGAGAATGGGAAGAGGAGCAGGCCCTCATCTTGCCTCTGAAGCCCTCCAAATAACCCCTTTGAATTATGTTACTTTGAAGGTCAATTCCCTTGGAATTCTATTTTGGAAATCATTCTTGATTACTTAATCACTATGGCCAAATTGCACCTAAGAATGATGATTTAAATAAGGGTTTACAGAACAATCATGGAAAACTGTCTAATTTAGAGTTTGGGAATTTAGTGCAAAATATTCTGGGAAATGAAATAATGACATAAGAAACATCCAAACCTATAGAGAAATTTTAGAAGAGTTTATTTGAGCCAAACTGGCAACATATGTCAAGGAGCAAGATCTCAAATGCTCCAGGGAATAAGAGTTTTGCAGCTTCATTTATGCATTTAAAATTAAGGAGGAAGGTAGGACTATTCCATGGAGGTGGGGGAAAGCGAGGCCGGGATTGGAGTACAGGATAGTTAACAAGATTATGTGCTCTCTTGAGGATGGTCATGTTTTATTTCAAAGGTAAGTTAACCTAGTTTGCAAGACGAGAGTGAATGGGAGAGTTGGAAAGGGTCGACCTCAGCGAATGTACCTCAATCAGATTGAGGACATTTTTAGCAAAGGCCAGCTTAGGAGTACCCTATTTAAGTTAATAACAATGTAGCTACCTATATAGTTTAAGTTTAAAAAATTTGGCTCTCAAAAGAAATTTCAATCGTTGTACTGTTGATATTTGGCTCTGTTGACTAATGAGTTTGCCGACCACTGACCTAACCTAACACCTAATCTACAATGTCTTGACCCATCTTTGGGAGGGAAAGGTTGGCTAATATTACTAATCAAATACAGGTTGGGGGGAAAGAAAACATATTTAAATTTCATGAGTGTAATTTTAGGAATCTGTTCAAATAAATTATAAAAGCATCTCTTCTTTTCTTTCAGTGTCCTGAATTTCTAGACCTTGACAAATCTAAACTTAAATCCAAAGAATCGCTCTCAAGTGGTGTGCATCTGAACACAGCTTCGGAAGACAACTTGCCTTCACGTTTAAAACAAGACAGCGAGCTCTCTTTAGAGCTTCACTCGCGGCAAAGAAAAACTTACCTTCATCCAATTAGGCACCCTTCTTTACCAGATTCCTCCCCGAGCACTGCAGGCATCTTGGGTCTTCATAGGCATGTTTCTGATCCTGGTCTTCCGGGGAAATAATCATTTTGTACTATCTATTCCACATACAATGTAAGTGCTTTTAATGGCTGTTTTCCTTTTTGTATTTAAATCCTCTCTACTTGACTCAGGGGCTCAAAGGTACCATTATATGCAAAAGTACTGTATATTTTCCTAAACTGAAGCTTGTGTGGTAAAACTGAGCAGTTAGGATGTAAATGTACATACGAATTCTTTTGTTCCAAATGTTAAACTGCCAGCATCTCAAGGCACCTTATTTTTTATTTTTATTTTTTAAATCATGTGCATGTTAGGAAACTCCAATTTCTCTTGCATGGAGACTCCTGTTTCCTGCTTTTACTAAATCAGTACTTTGTTATGAAAATGCCTTCAATTAGAAACCAAGGGATAAAATTTGTTCACGGATGCAACTCAGATGATCCTCAACTCAAGGAAGTTCAAGGAGGAAAAAGGGAGCTTAATCACTTTCGAGAACTGATATTCATAGTTAATTACATTCATTCCACCCCACACTGACAAGAGAAAATGCGGTGTAGAGTTATAAATCTCTGACTATATACGTAGCCATCTCCAAATACATGAATATAGGCAAGCATTAATGAGGACAAAAGAAGGCCTTTCTGTTTGAAATTCTGTCACTAACTGATTTACAAACTACCTGAAATACTTTCCACTGGCACATTTCCTTGATTAGAAGCAGGTTTCTCTAATTTTTCTATTTTGGGGGGTGGGGGGTGGGAAGGGAGAACTACTAATGAGTGACTGACAAAAACTGATATCCACAGCTTTCTTCTAATATATATTTTAGGGCAATCTTGAATTTGATCAAAAGAGTGTTGGTACATAGTTTTATTTTTTTTAAATATGCAATTTGAATGGGTTTGCATGGCAAAACTAGCTTTCATTGAGTATAAGTTATTCTATGGCTTTCTAACCCCAGCTGTGGAAACAATGATGTGCATTTACTTGCCTATGAAGGAAGTGCACACCCACCAACCATAACATTTCAGTTTTATTGGGTCATTCACACACATTTGCTAATCAAATATTAAATGAATATACATCAACCCTATCATATTGGAACATATGAATATATTCCATCAGATTATTGAAATATATTCATAATGCAATGGTTTAATATTTTTAACTGTTAGATTTTCTTTTGGGGAAGGAGGCCTAAACCGCTTTTAAAATCAAGGTACAGAAAAATGTGCAAGTTAATTTAGACTTCTGATTAGTCAAGTTCTAGTTAAGATGTTTTATTTTTCAATTCATTTGAGTACAATTTTAAACATATGAGCTCAAGCATTATATTCATTCCTTCTGGACAAAAATTTGAAATTTGTTGAAATTTTCTTAGTCGTTCACTAATTCTTATACTCATATAGTTTTAAAGAAATATTATACCTGTGCACATTATTAAATATATACTATATTTCTATCCTAGGGGATAGAAATATTTAACTTTTCCTATTTATTTACCATTACCAATTTATGCTAATATATTAGTGTCAAATACAAGCAATTTATTTACATTAACAAATACTATTGAACTACTTAAAATATGATTAAAGTAACCTTAAATGGTTCCCTATATATTTTTAAATGGTCACATAAATTGCTCATATGTGTGGGAGACAATCTATAGGCATGAGCATGTTAATCCCTCCTTAATTTTTGAAACACCGAAACATTTTAACCAAGTACGGATGGCAACATGACCAGTCAATTCAGTAGAAGTATAATAATTTTAGCCAGCTTCCCAAACCATTTGGTGTTTTGCAAATAGAAATTTAGGGACTGACTGATGCTTTTATTTCCTCATTCAACAAACATTTGTGGGTGCCAGGGGAGAGAGAGAAAAGGCTAACTCTGATTCAGAGGATGATTTAGGGATTTTATTTCCATATTTAGGCCATTTTTGCAGCTGCAACAAATTTCATAAGGATTGCCAGCTTAAGCTCCAGGGAAATTCA